GGGGGTAGCGGTGACGTCGGAACGCCGAGCCCTGATTGGCTGATCGCGACCCCCTATCTGAGCGTCGTCTGCCCATTTGCAACGTCGCCTGATCGCAACGTCGTCTGCGTCTGTCTCACCTTTCCTGCGACTTTCAAAAGTGCAGAGGCCAGGTTCACAAAACGATCTTACGCCAAAAATGTGCGTAAGGCAAAACTTAAGAACAAATTCGTATTCACGAAACAAAATTTTCGTAAGTTTTGCGCAGGTTACGACGAAATCCTACGACAGCTCCGAAGCTGTCTTATGCACTTCTTACGATCAAATCAGCATGGCCGACAGCGTCACGGTCGCGACGACCAATGGACGTTTATTTCTCTACCTGCGCTTCTCACGCGTCCCGACTTCAAGCAGCAAGAAAAAAGTAAAAAGTACTTGAAACAGACCACGACGAACAAGAACGCTGGATCCACAAACACCCGGGAAAAGCTCCAACGGCCACGATTCCACCGACAACGACCAAGCGAGCTCGGCAGATAGGCCTAGAAGGCACTCCGACTCGGCGACCGTCTGCCCACGACCGGCTGGCGTGCTGAATGGAATATGCCCACGCGACCCTTGTGAACCCTTCCCGTCTTATACTTTGATCGCTGACCTCAATTTTAGATTAAGAGGTCAATCTCTTCCTCTTGTCATCTCCTTGTTTTTCGAGGCAGCGGTGAATCTCCGACAGACGCAGGAAAGGTAAAGCAGCCATCGCTTTGACTAGCAGACGTAAAGCAGACGACGTTAACTGCGCCAACCCACCGACGCCGTTAAAGAGTGAGGAGTCTCGCCGCACACGAAAGGAGGGAAAATGTATTTGGGAGGGAATTTGCGGATATTAACACGCTCACTCTCAGTTTTTAGCAAACAAACCTCGGCGCCTCGGGACACCTCGCCAGTGAGTCCTTTGACTTCCCTCCTTGATGCGCGTCTGCTAGTTGTTAGACAAAAACAACGTACCGCTCGCATTATTTCGTCTGCCCTCTCTGAAAGGCGAAGTTCAGCTCGCTCGACTTCCGAAAGTCGCAGGAAAGGTAAGACAGACGCAGACGACGTTGCGAGCAGACGACGTTGCAAAGGAGCAGACGACGCTCAGATAGGGGGTCGCGATCAGCCAATCAGGGTTCGGCGTTTTGACGTCACTGCTACTTCCTTTCTCATGCGCAGAAGACGAAAATGAGCCCACTTGCGAGGCGTATAGTTTCTGTTCTTAACCCTTTCACGGGTGACTTTTTTGTAGGCCCCATGGTGAACCTTTTTTTTTTTCCCCTTTCGTATGGAAGTATTTTAATAAGAGCTCTGTGCCAAATTCAGCTTTTTTCTGCAACGCACAAAAAATATACCAAGGTGGGAAATATGCTTCCCATGGCCCAGCACCTGCTCAAAAAATAGTCAAACAATTAATTTTATTGTTGAAGAGAGAGACTGCAGGAGCTGAAGATCACTTTTCTGCAACTCAATGTGCTCTCTTCTTTCTCAAAGCCATCTAGAAACGAAAGTGCTTGTTTCTTCAAGAACTGAAGCTCCAAAAGCTGTGTGGGAGAGAGTTGCTGAGGTCACGGCGGCCATACTTCCCTCTTCGACAAATACCAAGAAAGTAGCTTGTGTGCTTTCAAAATGTTCAGATTCATTCGATTGCTCAGAGGGCTCGATTTGTAGGTTCGGTGGTTACTACATAACTTATAAAGCTCTGATCATCAGCAGATACCAGAAGCCAGCCTCACAAGTGCAAAGGCCAGCAAACGTTGTGTGCGGGAATGTTTAGTAAATGTACTATCGCGGACAATATGAGCCTGTCGCCTTGCTCCGCAACAGGCACGTAGCCGGGGGGGGGCATAGGGCCAGGCCCCCCCCCCCCCGAAAACTTCCATTTTGCTGGGACCTCCTCTCCCCTCTCCCCCTCATACACCATTTTTTCATGAGTGGGCCACCCCGCCACCCCCCCTCCCCCCGAACCAAAATCCTGGCTACGTGCCAGGTCCACACACATTGTGCACCCTGAGGCCGAGATGAATTAACACTTGCACCAGCTGCGCCACTGCGCTCTTCCGGGCGGCTGCTAGCGGGACGACGTGTGCAACAGCGGGCGTGTGTGTGGGTGGGGCGGCAGGGAGAGGGAAGGGCGAGGACAGAAGATAACGCTTGTCATTCCTTTTTGCAATTGATTTACTTCATTCTATCATGTAGAATCACGTAGAAAAAACTCTGGCGGGTGAAGAAAAAATGTTGAAGTATCTTAAATTGCAGCTGCGATTATCGTTTTTTAAAAGTCACATCAAAAGACGTAGGTTGTACCTTTTTTTTTTTTTTTGATGAAGTGCATGCACAAAGTAGGACAGTAAAATATAGGCCAAAATTTGTATGCGGGATTTAGGCCGGCTCCAAGGTATTTACATTTCCTATTTTTTTTTTTTTTTATTATGCTTATGCACAGCTGTATAAAAAAAAACAATGGTAACCATACATGTTACTGCGGAAATCTTGTAACCTTGATTGGTATGAAAGGGTTCAAAAATATTATTTCTTTTTTACTGGGCCTATGCGTCTGTTTCAAACAAAACAAGTGCTGACAAGACACCAGTGTTTTATTTACAAATTCCTAGCCTTAATAAAGTGCAACAAACAATCATATATTTGCCAGGAGAAGGAGCTTGAAAGTTCATCGAAACAATATTCGCAGAGGAGAATGACAGACAAAAAAGTTCAATAGCCGGCGTGGAAATTCAACTGCAGGATACAAAAAGATTGAAATCAAGGATGCACCACTCAAAAGTTTGCGCTGGTTAACGGCATCAAACTGTGTGTCGCAATCGTAACAACAAGCTTTGTTCCGATCGGCAGAGGTCCGGTTCAGGGGGTCCTGAGGTGCAGTAAAACTTATGAAAGAAGTTAACACCGCGTCCACGGGTCTCACTCTGTCTGGTAAGGAATCGTAGAGCGCGGCCCAGAAGTCTGGCTTGGCCCGAAACATCTCCCCATTCCACCTCTCACTGCTCCCCACAATTCGTCAGCATTGGCACAATGGAGGGGACACCGTGACATGGCTACCTTGATGTGCCTCCAAACGTGTTCAATGATATTCAGATCAGCTATTTTGGGGGCCAAGGCAGCTCCGTCAGGCAGCTGTCCTCGAGGAGATAAGAGCGTGACAACGTATTTTCCACTTCGATGCTTTCTTGAAATGCACAGAAATGTATGATAGCTGAAAACATGAACATTGGGCTGCACGGCACAGCATCGTGATGGTGGTTCCGCCGGCCAATATTTTCGTTAGTAGACGGCCGGAAGAGCTCCGCAACGCAGTGGACGCAAGTGAGAATTTATCTCGGCCACAGGGCGCGCTGTGTTTGCGGAGCGATGTGACGGGTGGCGCAGAAAGTACCGTGCACAGGCCGGAGCGCTGTTTCAGCTCATATTGTCCGCGATAGTACAGCTTTGCTTTTGCACAGCCAGATGGCACCAGTACACATATTTTTTTTAATATGATTTTTGCTAGATGGTGGAACAGCACAATGGTGGGAATTCACCTTCCCTTGAGCCCAGTACAGACCAAGCGTGGGTGGGAAGTATATATCACACCGCCCATGAAAGGGTTAAGCTGTCATCGACTCCAGAGGCTTATGCCATTAAAAAGGAAGGGGGAGGTTGTATCAGCCAAACTTCGGTTACTCTGCATAGTAAAAATATAGTCTTTTAGACATGTGCACATTGGCCATGACCGAGTTGATTGTTGTTGCTGGTATGTTTTTCATTACATGTTCAGTTGAGAGACAGTACTTGTTCAGTTTGGTTCCCTGTTCTCTGAATTAATTTTTCATGATAATAAACCAAGTTACCTATATCACCTCCTTAAATGTATATTTGATTTGTTAATTTTTTTTAAACTCGGACTGCAGAGCCATGATTTCTTTCTGTATTAGGTGTTGTTCTTGTTCTTTTCTTATACCCCCTCCTACCTGTTCCTTCAAAGGCTGGTAGTACCGTCTAAATAAAAATTGGCTATCTCTTTGGCATTCCCCGATGAGGCCCTATAAATGCATAACATTTATAGGTTCTCGTCGCACGGGCACACTGGGAGGGTTTCGTGAATATATAAAATTGTCAGGTGTCACGTGTCACTGTGACATCACACAGCATTATGGTGTCACGTGAAGTCGCATTGTCACGTTCTGGTGTCATGTGACGTCATGTCACCTGATGTCATGTTTTTTCACGTGACACTGACGTCAACGTGTTATGCAATGTCAAGATTCCACGTCATAGTGTCACCTGACGTGACCATGCATTGTCACATCACACTATGACGTCACATGATGCAGTGTCATGAGACGTAGCATCACATGACAACACAATGCAATGTGACATGACAGTGTCGCATGACGTGATGTCACATGACATCATGATATCACACTGTCACGTGACATGATGATGTTATGTTGCATCAGCGTCACGTTTGTCACGTGATGTCTCAATGTCACATGATGCCACAGAAGACCTATAAATCCTATGCACTCGGAGCGCCTTTGGGATGATGTCATAGTGTCGCATGACGCTGTGACATAATCTGAGCTGCATGCCACGGACACAAAGTCCGAAAGGCTTGCCCTTAAAATGCAATGCATTTAAAAAGGCTACCATCCAAACAAACTACTGTCAATGAGCACATGTCGTGCCTCCAGTGTCTAGCACACTGATAAACATGATTAACAAAGTGGTTCAATATAATCTCTAATGCTCCAATAAGCATCTCTTTGTTCAAATGGAGCAACCCAGTCAGTTCCATATACATCTATCTCTATAGTCTGAGACAGCTCATCGTCCAGACATGTCCCCTTGATGTATAGGACCAATAGAAGTCTCTGCAGAACAAATAGGCTTTTCTATTCGTCTGATAGAATTTTCTACGGGACCATTGGAAATCTCTACTGATCATAAAGACCTAGAAATGTCGTGTGGAGGTTCCTAGACGTCCTCACCTTTCTGAACGGCTTGTCGACGGGTGCCGGCTTGGGGGCTGGCTTCAGGGGCTCTAGGCTGGGCGCATCCACACCTGCGACGGAACACGCAGCGGGGTCAGCCAGACGGAGAAAAACAAGGGTATCCCTACCTACAAAGTTACGAGAATGTGAGTCTCTCGAGCATTAGACTTTCCTTATCATCAAGCTTTCCTCTGGGATCCCAGCCCTTGTCTGCTTTGAAAATCGCCGGTTTACCGCGTGGCAAGGGGAGTGGTGACACAGAGTGTATGTGCAATGTGTTCTAGTTAGGTTGCACAGATGCATTTGGTACGCTCTTTACGCCTCGACAGCACAAACATTGTCGTGCTTAGCTTCTTTGAACCCAGCCTTGTTGCGTAGAGGGCGCTGGCACACTAACTGCCAACGACATTTCAAACTTGCTGTTCTCGTGCACGATGTTGGCGTATTCAGGGGTCGGCAACCTTTTGCAGCGGTGGGCCGACCCCTTTTGCAGGGGCCAGGCAAAGAAAAGGCAAAAAGAAAGTGAACACATTCTTTGTCCAGGTATGGGGATGTCGGACAATGCCAACTCGAAGTGCTCCTTGTTCCTGTCTAACCCCATTTGAGGGCAAAATGGTCATGTGGTTTTTGAGTATGTGTGGGGAAGTGGCAGAGGCAGGGGTGCTTTTCTGGTGTTGTGCCGGGGGCCACATAAAACTGCCTTGAGGGCCGGATGCGGCCTGCGGGTTGTTGACTTCTGGCATAGTTGGTTCAGCATCGGATTCACAACTGAAGGGACGCCAGTTCGAAAACAAACATTTCCATGCTTTCTCCGGCGGATTTTTATATTGGTGAATTTTCGCGTGACACTCTTCCATTAAAGGAAGCACGTAACAAGAAACTGCTAGGAGCTAGTCATGTAACACCTTCTGCGTTAAAATATCATTTGGCAGCCGTGGCAGATACCTTAAATAAACACCATCATTACATAATTTATTCAATGTTAAACATGGTCAAATGAAAAAAAATCTAGTTTTTTAGCGCCTCACACACACCCTATACATGAAAACTTTGCTCTCTTTCTGACAAGAAAACTTGTCTGCACTAAAGGTAAGCTGCTACACTGTGATTCCCATGTTCTGAAGTGTGTAAACCACCTAGACCAAAAACAGGCTCATTGCTGCTCCTCACAATTTATGAACAGTTTTGAGCTCTCTTTCTAAACCATTTTGGTAAAAAGAAACATAGCATCTTTTTTACTGTCTTCAATTGTTTTTTCAACAAACAAATGTAAACCTGCTCCAACTGGTATGAACCATTATTTTTTTACTCCAGAGCTGAAGCAGACCTGAATCCTTTTCCCCGAACTGAAACGAAAACAAGAATGAAAAACATTTGGGTTCAACAGCCTGGTTGCAAGCATAAAATAGAAGAGGAAGTATTCTGTCCCAGTTTTGGTGAGCAGCTGGGAGGTTAAATCGTCCCGCCACTGGCCCGAGGATGGCATGCGGTAATGGTGCACTGAATGGTTTGGCAGTGTCAGAAGTGTGGCATTACAGGCGAGACTCGGGGAGATCCGTGACGTTGAACAATTTCTTAATTCCGTGGATAAAGTCATACAGAATGTGTGTTCTGAGCTAAGCTGGATTAGCAGACACGGTGTCATGTGATGCAATGCCTGTGATGCATTGCCTGTGACACAGTGTCTCTGACACAGTGCCTATGACACTGTGATGTCACTGACACCATGACGTGGCATCAAGACACATGACACCACTCAATTTGTCACAATAAAGTAATAAAGTGGTTGGTGTCTTAATGAATGTATATAGCGCGAAGGACAGACAAGGCAATCGACACAGACTGGCCCACCTTAATATTTTAGCTGGTTGGTGTCACGTCACATGTCATGGTGTTTCGATATGTCATATGACATTATGTCACATAACGTGACGTCAAAGTGTTGCATAACACCATGGTTTGATATGACGTCACCACATCATGATGTTGCATGGGCAATTTATTTCCAATACTACTAATCCCATTTGGGATTGTTGTAGGGATGTACATCATACAGAACATTTTTTTTTACACACACATGAAGATGATGGTATGCAAGCCTATGTCGACAGGTGCGCTTCCAAGTTAATGAGAAAATGTTCTACACTAGTGGAATGTACAATGTTTCGTGGCAAGTGATTCCATTTGTTGGTACTAGTTCGGAAGAAAAAGGAATATTTGAAGCAATTATTGTGGGTAGGAAGTTCTTCATAAAGTTTACCATTATTACACCTTGTTAGCCGTTTGCTAGTAGGAGTTAGATCATTTTCTGCGGGAATGTTGAAGTTGTTGTTAGCTAATTCTATAGAAACTTGAGCCTTGCAAGTTTCGCCCTTTTTTCTAGAGACAACAGTTCTAATTGCTTACATAGCACGGAGGGGGAATCATGCCAACTATATTTGTTACATATCAACTTTGCAGCCACTCTTTGTATACTTTCTAACTTGCTAACACCAGAGGCGGTGTACAGGAACCAGACGACGTTGGAGTACTCAAGCATGGGGCAGACTAGTGTATTGTAGGCTAATAATTTCATCTCAGTTGAACCACTTTTTAAAGTTCTTTTTACAAAATTAAGTTCGTTTAGCGCTTTTTGAGTTATAGAGTCAATGTGTAAGTCCCAACGGAGGTCATGGCTTATATGTATGTAAGCCAAGATACTTGTACCCCAAGACTTGCTCCAGGGGTTTATTGTTTATGCGATAGGAAAAACGACTCGGGTTGCTTTTTGTTTCATGGTCATATTGATACAGGTTTATCTAAATTTAATAACATCTGCCAGTCGTGACACCATTGTACAATGCGTTGAAGTACATTGTTGAGGTCGATTTGATCCTGTTCATTGTTGATTTGCGAGTAGAGTATACAATCATCAGCAAAAAGACGGATCTTTACATTAACATTTTGACTTATGTGATTTATGTAAAATCAGAAACAGGAAAGGTGCCAGTACCGATCCCTGTGGAACACCAGATGAAACTTTTCCCTTTGACGATGAATCAGCATTGATTGTCACAAATTGATAGCGATCAGAAAGGTAGTTTCTTGTCCAATTAAGTATTTTACCTGCTCCCAGCATAGTTTCTAGCTTAAATAGTAGTTTTGTGTGGGATACTCTGTAGAATGCTTTCGATAGATCTACGAATATGACGTCAACCTGGTTCCTGTTGTTAATTACAGTAGAAAAGTTATAAATGCTTTCGGTCAGCTGAGTAATAGTCGATAACTGACGCCTGAAGCCGTGCCGGAATGGGGTTATTATATTATTGTGCTAGACGAAAGTCGAAATGTGTTTTAGGATAATGTGCATATTTTACAGCAAGCTGAGGTGAGAGATATAGGCCTGTAATTAGTAAACTCATTTTTGTTTTCAGATTTATATATGAGAATAACTTTAGCCAATTTCCAGTGTATGGGAATTTTCCCTCTGTTGAGGGAGTGTCTAAAGATGATTATGAGGCACTTTGCTATCCATTCCACATAGCTTTTTAAAACTTCATTGGGTATACTGTCAGGGCCAGCACTCTTTTTAATATTGAGGTCAAGTAAGAGCTGCAAGACACCTTGTTTGGTAACTACTACATCGCCCAATGTGGCCAGAGCTGAAGGCAGAGACAAAAGAAGGTATAAATTACCATTAGCCATAGTAAATACAGAAAGAAAATACTCTATAAATGTTTTTGCAAGATTGGCTTTATCATTTGAAAGTAATTCTAGGTGTGATTTAGGTTTAGGGTTAACGGGACTCCAGAATTCGCAAGGTGACGATTTAATAAACGACTGAAGCGTGATGTACATTGAAAAATGTATGCTTAGCTGATTTAATTTTGAAGCAGAGTTCAGTATTCAGCTGCGCTGAATACTGAACTATATAACATGTGACATGACGTGACATATTGAACTATATATCCTATCACGTGACATGGTGCCACAGAATTATGCTGGTAGTCACGTGAACACCTGATCAAGTTGCATGCTGATGAACTCCCGTGAACACCGTCCACTAATCTGACGGGCGTATGATGGTTTTTCGTAGCGTTTTATTGTGGCGGGACAGTTCTTTGTGACGTTCCCCTGGCCCTTAAACAATGTCTTCTGTACTGTGTCTGCCGAGAGTCACCGTCTTCGCAGGTAGACAATGGTGGCTATGACGTGCCTCTGTCATCACTGCCATCTCTGTCACTGGGAATATGTGGGCAACATTTTAATGAGGGGCTGTTTGAGACACTCAAGATTTCTGAGGCACCAGATTGTACTTTGTGATAGAACACTCATCATTGTATATTAACATGATGTCATGTGATTTAAGGGGAGACAGGAGTCCTAAAATAATAAAAAAAAAAACAAAAAAAACAAAAAAACGCTAAATTTCTCGTTTTTTGAAACTCAGATATTTGATTAAATTATCAGAAAGAATAAACAAAAAGACGGACCAAACGAGACATCAACGCGCTCACCATAACTTTAGTCACATATTCGGATTGAATATAGTCCAAAGTACCTGCATGCAAAGTTTCAATGTCCAATTGGATGTCAAAGTACAAGAAAAACGCTAACTATGATGCCTTGGCAGCGTTTCAATCGCGATTTCAAAGCAACAAGTAGTCGAACTCGAATGTGGCGCCCCCCGCGGCTGTTCTGTAGCTGCTCGTCGGGCTTGTTGAAAAGCTGGTTCTCTTCCCTCCTTCCCCATGCCACTCATTTTCATGACACCCTAGAGGAATGTCCGCATTCCGCGGGTTTTCCAGGCTCCAATAGCGATTGCTAATTGGCCAGCGCTCATAGGATCGCACACGTCATATCTCGCACTCCTGCTATTGGCCAAGACGCGCACCTCTGCTCTTTTTTCTCATCTCTTCCTCTCAGTTCAAACGCGCCGACGAAACTGTTGCCTGCTCTGTGTTGCTGGCTGCTCGCTCGTCTGCTTTGTTTCTTCAGTGATCAAGCGCACGTTTTTAGTTCCTGTTTGCGCACTTAGATTGAACATTGATCGTTGCCTTGCTCTGTTACAAAGCTGAAAAAGTTTTGAAAT